TCACGCCTGTGATCCCAGTAATTTGGGAGTCTGCGGCAGGCGGATCGTTGAGGTCAGGAGTTCAAGACCAGCCCGACCAACATGGCGAAACCCAGTCTCTACTAAAAATACAAAAATTAGCTGGGCATGGTGGTGTGTGCCTGTAATCCCAGCTTCCTCTGGAGGCCAAGGCAGGAAGATCCCTTGAGCCAAGGAGGTGGAGGTTGCAGTGAGCTGAGAATGGGCCACTGCACTCCATCCAGCCTGGATGACAGAGTGAGACTCTCTCTAAAAAAAAAAAAAATTCGAGAGACATCAGCGGCTCTTGGTGATGGATTGGTGTGGGAGGGCCAGGGAAAGCTGAGGATGACCAGTAGATGTCTGGTAACCAAGCTGGGTGATGAGCATTGTCCCTCGCACACCCTTCACATGAGGGGTAGGGGACGGTAGAGAAGGTGAGCTTTGTGAAGAGGGAGAAAGACGAGGACCCTGATGCGGGAGGAAAGAAGATGTGAAAAGTGAAGATGAGGCAAATATTAGCTTTAGAAAAGAAGAGGATCGCTTGAGCCCAGGAGTTCAAGTCCACCCTAGGCAACAGAGCAGAATGCCATCTTTACAAAAAAATTTCTTTTTCTTTTTCTTTTTTTGGAGATGGAGTCTCACTCGGTCCCCCGGGCTGGAGTACAGTGACCCAATCTGGGCTCACTGAAACCTCCGCCTCCTGAGTTCAAGCGATTCTCCTGCCTCAGCTTCCTGAGTAGCTGAGGTCACAGGCACCCACCACCATGCCTGGCTAACTTTTTGTTTGTTTGTTTGTTTGTTTGTTTTGAGACAGAGTTTCACTGTTGTTGCCCAGGCTGGAGTGCGATCGATCAATCTCGGCTCATCGCAACCTCCGCCTCCCGGGTTCAAGCGATTCTCCTGCCTCACCCCCTCTCCCGAGTAGCTGGGATTACAGGCATGTGCCATCACGCCCGGCCAATTTTTTTTTTTTTTTTTTTTTTTTTTGACAGAGTCTCGCTCTGTCGCTAGGCTGGAGTGCAGTGGCACAATCTCAGTTCACTGCAACTTTCACCTTCTGGGTTCAAGCGATCCTCCTGCCTCAGCCTCCCTAGTAGATGGGACTACGGGCACGTGCCACCACGTCAGCTAATTTTTGTATGTTTTTAGTAGAGATCGGGTTCCACCATGTTGGCCAGGATGATCTCGATCTACTGATCTCATGATCCCCTCGCCTTGGCCTCCCAAAGTGCCGGGATAATTGGCGTGAGCCACTGTGCCTGGCTAATTTGTGTTTTTTTGTTTTTTTTTTTTTTTGAGATGAAGTCTCGCTGTGTAGCCCAGACTGGATGGAGTGCAGTGGCACGATCTCAGCTCACTGCAAACTCCGCCTCCTGGGTTCACGCCATTCTCCTGCCTCAGCCTCCCAAGTAACTAGGACTATAGGCGCCCGCCACCACGCCCGGCTAATTTTTGTATTTTAGTTTCACTGTGTTAGCCAGAATGGTCTCGATCTCCTGACTTCGTGATCTGCCTGCCTCGGCCTCGCAAAGTGCTGGGATTACAGGCGTGAGCCACCGCACCTGGCCTAATTTTGTATTTTTAATAGAGACGGGGTTTCTCCATGTTGGCCAGACTGGTCTTGAACTCCCGACCTCAGGAGATCCACCTACCTCTGCCTCCCAAAGTGCTAGGATTACAGGTGTGAACCACCGAATCCGGCCAACTGGGGACAGTTCTGTCTCCCAGAGGACACTTGGCAATGACGTTTTTGGCATCAAGACTAGAGGAAGGTGCTACTGGCATTAAGTGGGTAGATATATAGATGCTAAAAAGCATCCTACAATGCATATGAAACTCCTCACAAGCGAGAACCATCTGTTCCCAAATTTCAGTAGTGTTGAGGTTGAGAAACCCTGTTCTGAACTTTTCTCCAGGCTGGATGCGGTGTCTTATGCCTGTAATCCCAGTACTTTGGGAGGCCGAGGCGGGTGGATCACTCAAAGTCAGGAGTTTGAGACCAGCCTGGCCAACATGGCGAAACCCCGTCTCTACTAAAAATGCAAAAATTAGCCAGGCGTGGTGGTGGGCATCTGTAATTCCAGCTCAGGAGGTTGAGGCAGGAGAATTGTTTGAACCTGGGAGGTGGAGGTGGCAGTGAGCCACCACTGCACTACAGCCTGGACCACAGAGGGAGACTCTGTCTCAAATAAATAAGTAAATAAACTTTTCTCCAAACTTCAGGGAAATCATAAACATTTCAAAATTATATTTTCTTTTCAGGTATAAAACACCCAGTTACACATGTTTCTGGTGATAATTGTTGTTATACTGGAAGTTTGTTTTGTGTGGTAAGTATAAGTGTATAATTGTTCATTTTTTTGCTCCCCTCTGAACACAAATAATCATGAGTAGAAATAAAGGCTGGGCGTGGTGGCTCACACCTGTAATCCCAGCACTTTGGGAGGCCGGGGCAAGAGGATTGCTGAAGCCCAGGAGTTTGAGACCAGCCTGGGCAACATAGTGAAACCCCATCTCTACAAAAAATAAAATAATTAGCCTGGTGTGGTGACATGTGCCTGCAGTCCCAGCTACGGCAGGAGGGTTGCTTGAGCCCAGGAGATCGAGGCTGCAGTGAGCCATGATTACGCTACTGCACTTCAGCCTGGGCAACAAG